TGGCCACTCTTCTTTTCTGAGTGCTCTTTGCATCTTCTCATTTTTGTACGTTTCTCTAAGGACAACCACCCACCCCTTCCCACTTCTTGATTTTTTTATCCTACGCATGCAAACACTCCCTCTGCTAATTACTTTCTTCACCTATGTCCTTTTGCATTTCCACATGTTAAAGTTATTACTTGCATTGTCTTCTTCTACGCTGGCTAGCTAGCTTCATATATTCATTCATATTATATATCATGACACTGTATATATATGTACTAAGAAAAAAGAAGAAGCTATGTATATATGTTTCTTGTTCCATATATTCATTCAACATGTTATTACTTGTCTTCTTCTACGCTAGCTAGCTTCATATGTTCGTTCATCTTGTATATCCCGACACTGTATGTGTATGTACTAGGAAAAACGAAGACGCTATGTGTGTGTGTGTGTGTTTCCTGTTCCATATCAGGATATCGCATCGATCTGTTACAGGTGAATATGTATATGCAATAATTGATGAAGTGCAAGGAGTGAACAATACATAGTGGTCACACATGGGAGCTGAGGAAAATGATCCATATCGGAGACAAGCAAGCTAGCTAGGGCTGCATATGTCGTACATTAAGTTGAAGGGGATAAGATAGCATGTGGATTATGATACTATCTCCATCGCTAGTGTAATTTAACTATTAATTTGATTTTAAATATAAGATTTTAATTCATTTTATCTCTTATATTTATTTATTTTTTTCAAAGTAATGTTTATAGCATATATTAAAGATTTTATCAAATGATACATAGTTTTAACTAATGTACATGATTAACAAAGGTATTCTGGGAAAAATAACATCTAGTTATTAGTAGTATAAATAACTAACTTAACAAACTCTCTTAATTTATTTAAATTAGTTAATTAACTCTTATATTAAAGATCATTTTATTATAATCGACCCGGCTCTTCGTACTGAGTTCTTACAAATTATCTACTAATTGAATTAAACGAAACCACCTCTCGATCTCTCTTTGTGGGCTGTGTTTGTTAGTGTAAAGATTGGCGGAACAAATGGCTGTGGTGTTGAGCTTTCAAGTGAATTAAAGGCGTCTTAGAAGGACTATTTTTGGGCCTAAAAAAATATCAAACTTCATTAATTGAAGTCTTTTCAAAGGGTTTATGACGATGAGATATATCCCAGAACAAGGACTTGAAGCTGCAAAGCACGAGACACATATCATCTGTCAAGTCCTCCAATGCAGACACCTGGGGTACTTGGTCCCCACTTCTCCTGCTTATAAGCACAAAACACACACACACACACACAGAGATACGACGATTGCGAAATAAAGCATAATAATCTTTGACAACATGCAAGACCCGACACACAAAATGTGCGTGTGTGTGTGTGTGACCAAATTTATTAAAGCACGCCTCAAGCACTTAATTAGCTGTTTAAAAGATAGTGCTCTGTCAATCACTTTCTGGAGTGAGGCCTCAACTCAGTCTTGTCCTCAGCACATGTGAAAACGACTATACCTTACTTCACACAAATCTCATATTATACCACACCACACATATATATACACGCGCGCGCAATTAACGTGCTATTGTACGTATACATATACTGCATGTTAACTGTGCATGCATGAGTATCAATTATACTGCTGCGTCTGCTACACACACATATGTTTACATATGTGTGTGTGTGTGATGTACTTGTTCATTGATATATGGGTCCTCGTGATCAGCCACGTCTCGTTTATAATGTGGCTGCGACCAGCGACAACAACAATTCCGCTATGAGCGCCACGTCTGGTTCATTTCAGTGAAGGACGCGTTTCGGCAAACCCTTATTTGGAGCAGATTCACCATTTGATCCGATTTTGATTTTTGTCAGCTACTTTTATATTACTTCCGGTCCTAATTATAAAAACTAGTTGACTAATTTGAGGAGATTAAAGAAGTAAGTTGAGTTAGTTATTTGTCCTAAATAGGTGTTGTTTTTCTTAAAATATCTTTGCTAATCAGGTGTATTGACTAGAAATATTATTGTTAGAAATGTTACTTTGAAAAAAAATATAAATATGAGAGACAAAGTGGATTGGGATCTTATACTCCTCCGGTCCTAATTATAAGACCCAATTGACTTATTTGAGGAAATTAAGGAAGTAAGTTAAGTTGGTTATTTATAATAAATAAGTGTTGTCATTCCTAAAATATCCTTGCTAATTAAGTATATTGGCTAAAACTATCATTATTAGAAGGATTATCTTGGAAAAAAATGCATAAATATAAGAGACAAAATGGATTGGGTCTTATAATAAGGACCGGAGGAGTATTTATGATCAAAATAAAAGTCAAATAGGGTCTTATATTAAGGACCGGAGGTAGTATTATTGATTTCACTTTGTCTGAGTTTAAGTATGGGGGCTAAAACCAATACTAGTTAAAAGTATAGGTATCATTCATTAAGTATAGATTAAAAAAGTATGAAGTTACAGAGATCAAAACCAACAATTTAAAACTAATTAGTAGGCTCGGTATAAAAACTAATAATAATATTAACCCTCATAATCATCATCATCATCATCATCTTGGCGGTGTATCTTTAATTATAAAATTAAAGGAGACTCCCAAAAAAAAAAAAAAAGATTCTCTCGAATCCTCGTACGGGGAAAGAGAGGATCTCAGGTTGGTACTGGAATTGGAGGGCGATCAATTCCGTAGTTGACTCACCACAAAGGCACAAATCATAGCATTTACATAAAGTTGTATACAATAATTCATTATTGTGATGAATGATTATTGTTTCCCACCTTAGAAGGTTATGCTTCAATTAGGAACCTCACCTTCTTCAGTCTTTCCCCTTCACGATTCAAGACTGAGAAATAGTAACTGATATTTTTGAATTGTAATTCACATCAGACCCAATCAATATGTACTACCTCAAGTCCTAATTATAAGACCTAGTTGACTAATTTGGGAAGATTAATGAATTTAGTTAAGTTAGTTATTTGTCATGAATATGTATTGTCTTTCCTAAAATATCCTTACTAATCAAGTGTATTGGTTAGAACTACCATTGTTAGAAGGACTATATTGGAAAAAGTGGATAAATATGAGAGACAAAGTGGATTGGAGTCTTATATTTAGGATCAAAATAAAAGTCAAACAGGATCTTATAATTAGGACGGAGGTAGTACTAATTTGGGAGACATCGCTATTATACTGACCATGCCTATCAAAATGTGCCACGTTTGGGCATTAAGTTGAAACTTATTTCAAGTTTTCCGCCATTCATTTGTTATCTATTGATATTTTATCAATGCGTCAACTTGGCTACCCGCTAAATTTCCAAGCCTCCTCACTTTTTCTCAAATTTTCATGCATTTTTATTTTATTTTTTAATTTATAATTAGGCACTTTTTCTGCTGTAACGTGGCATGACTTATTAACAGTGGGGAAAAGACCCAATGATAGAAGTGCGAAAACTGATCAAGATTTTTTTAACTCTCACTCCTCCACCTCCCATTGCTTCCCTCATGCCACATCACTACTTTTTCAGTCTCCCCATTAACATTAATCCGGATTTGATGCACATAAGGTCGTTGAAGGTCTTATTTTGTCTTTTTCGCTTTTATGTTTTCGGGCCGAAGTTATAAGTCTGGGTTTACGTGACTCGGTACATGCAAAGCCCACAACTCACAGGAGGACCCAAAATTCCAAAATTTTAAGACCGATTTGAAATAACTTATAAATAATTTTCTGATCGTAATTTATATATAAGAGAAATTTTGTTTTAATTGACATAAACTGTATTTATAAGTATTTTTTAATGTTATCCCAAACAGGCCCCTAGTTATTTACATTTTTCTCCTTTAAATAAAAAGTTGATCGATTCACCCCCAAAAAGAAAGAAAAAAAGAGAGCTGGTTAAACTTGAAACCACGTGCTCCCTACCCGACCTTCAGAGATCGCTCGAACCATGCGGGTGACCAGTCACCAAACTAACCGATCCAACTAGCCGCTCAGCTCTGAATTTTAAAATGCCATTCATCGAATCGGAGCGTTCAATTCCTCCACCTCTTAGCTATTCAGGCATGCGAATTTCTACACTGCATTAGGACTCAGATATGCTATTTGACTACAAGTTATTCAGCTATGCTTTTAAAAGTATTTTTATAATATATGAAATAAATATATAAAAGAACTTGTTTCGATTTAAGAAAAAATATTTTAAAAAGTACTTTTGAAACTATCCAAACACCACTTATAATAACAGGCCCAGAATCCTTCCTGTGAAATTCACTTTTATTAAAAAAAAATAAAAACCACCGAGAAACCCAATGGATGTTCAAAAAAAAACACGCCACATCCAAGTCCTCCTCTGATTCGAAGTTTTCACTGCCCAAATTGAAGTGAAATAAAAATATGAAACCAAAAGAGGAAAAGAGGGAATAAAAGAAACCATATTCTGGCCTCTCTGTGCTTAGTTACGATATGTCAGAATATATGAACTCCTCTGGCAAACAGAGTATGTTTATTGCAACTCCATCTTAGACATCAGCCAAGTTTCCCACTGGTCAGGGATCAAGGGTTTGATCAACTGAGAGGATAGAACTAGACATCATCTCAATGGCAGAGGCAAAACAAATTAGGACTTCAAGATTGGTCTCCAAAAGCATCCCATATATCAAGCATTCCCCTTCTTGGTCCATATCTTCACTCCAAAATATAAATTTATGCAGTCAGTCTACGTACTCATAGTTACAACTTACACATACATATGAGTCTTTTCATCATTCTTCACGAAATAGAGCACACTTGACGACGTGATTCTGAAGCAATAATCAAGCCATTTACCTCTTTGCTAATCCGCTCTTGCAAGTGACTAGAACCACATTATCTTAACCTCACTGGCTCACTTCAATTCAGAGCAGCACAAATAACGGTTTCTAACAGTAACTATAGGTTTGTATAACCTAGGTTTTCTTATGATGATGCTATGCTGACAGATGACTTCCAGAAAGGCCTTTAAACGCAACCCATGTATCAAGAATTTTATTTATTGTCTAGATGTTCGTTCCAAAATCTAACTTAACAAGTTAATATCGATACTAAATAGCTACAATTACAAATAAGCCAGTTCACCATAACTCGCAGTACGCAGTACAAAGAACACTTCATGGCTTGGATTTCAAAGCAATATCATATAATTACCTCTTCAATAACCCAGCCTTGGAAGTGACTTGAATCCCATTAGCTTAACTTTTGACTCCGCAGAACAAGAAATCATATCTACCAGTAATTAAAGGCCTTCTATAACATTGATTTTCTTATCATGACGCCATGCTGGCAGTCGACTTCAACTTCTTAGGTGGCGGGTTTCCTCCAGAGAGAAGCACATACAAATAGAAGCACAGCATCGCAGAACTGAAAACAAAAAAATTCATCCAGTAAACAGGAGTCAAAATCAGTGCCTGCTAACCAGAAGGCATGATAAACTACTGACAATTTCAAACGATGAAAACAAAATAAGTAAGGTTGGAACTTGGAAGTCAAGTGGTGCCAGTACCTTATAATAGCGATGAAGCCAGTTGGAAATAATTTCTTTGCCTGGATTGAAAATAAATAATAGTGTAAAATGATACTGGCCAAAAGATGAAAGCTGTTTTTGTCGAAATAGATAGATGCATTACCAATGAGTAGGCCTGAAAATTTTTCCAGATAAGAACCCCTGACAACGCTGCAAAATTCAGCAACAAGAGGTGAGATGACATTGTAACAAACTTAACAAGCAAGAATGTTTTTTCCTGATTTACCCCAAGTTAGGGTGCTCTAACACAATGACATCATATACCTGCTTGTCCTAGAATAAATGGTAAACTAGATTTTCCTTGCCTCCAGACCTTTAAGCTAAAGGTACTGAGGAACAGTAAAGCCCCTCCAAAGAGAACACCGTTGCTCAGTGTTGCAGTACTCCGTGACAAAAGAAACCCAATAATTCCCCCACTAAGCACAAACCCACCTGCAACAGGAAACGGATCAGATAAGGCATCACATCTTTGTTTAATAAAGGCAATAGGGTAATATGTTACATGTTCACATTAATGATGCACCAATAAAAATTCAACACCCTGTTGAATAAGAAATTCCATCTTAAATTACTTCAGAGTATTAAGTGCTAATAGTCCATCTTCTTTAAAACAACACTCTGACCCTTCATTAACACATTCTTAAGATAAATCAACACATTGAATCAATCAAACTTTCCAAGATTTCTCACTTAACAACCTTAGAACATAAAGTGAGATCATTTTCTTTCCAGAATGATCTAAGTCAAGCTATTTCCTTCAGTTTCCAAGGGTCTTGCAATAATTCCTAAAACTCGACATCTACTATCAACCTGAATTAAATATTAAATAGCCAATAATGAGCACATTATTTAAAGACTGCTTTAAATTATTTAGTGATCTGACTAAGTTAAAAAAAAGGGGGCAAAAAAGGGGGAAGCCATGTGCCCAAACAAATATATTAATTCAGAGCGGTGTTCATGACCCCAAAAAAAAAAAAAGAAGTCAATTTGTCTGCTTCAGTTCTAAGGGAATCAAAGAAACACCCAGCACATAAACATTCTTTTGTCCATTTGTAATAATAGACAACTAAAGGCACAAATCAAATCATTAAGCTACTAATAACCTAAATCACTTGACGTGCAAATAATCAACCAAGGAACACTTACCAAAGGGGATGCCTAAACAAAAATCATGAATCTTTGCAGTCTTTTTCTGCAGATCGGCATCTTGATCCTGCTTTGCCTCTCCAAACCCTTTTTTCCCAGCATCCTGCTTTTCTAAAGTTGAGTATGACTCTTGCTTCTCTTCGACATGCAATTTCGGAATATCAGATGTATATCTAAGTGAATTTTTGGCATCAGAACCAGTAGCATCTGTGCCATGCCCCTCGAGACTCATAGCAACTGATAACTATACCAGATATTAGAATCAGGATCAAATAATTGCTCTGGAAAACTTGCATTTAACAAAAATAGTTCACTTTGCAAGCTTGTTCATGTAAATTGCAATCTCACGAATAAAACTACACTTTCTATCTTCTAGTTTCAAAGATAAGCCTGTAAGCAAGTGTGCATGTCACCGAATCATTCACACACACACACACATCATGTTTACGCAAATTTCTAATACTCTCTTCAGCAATCTCATCAGAGTTACATGTACAAACAGTCGAGCATGTTCGTTCAGTGCAGCCATGAGCAAAAGCAAGAAATTAAGAAAACCAATTGCAGGAACAAAATGGTCCATCTCAATCATTTTTATTTACATTCTTCGACTTCGGAATCATTCACGCGACCAACTCAACTAAAATTCAACTAATTCCAAACTCGCCTACAAACAACAAAGTTCAAACTTTTATAAAACTTCAATTATTTTCCGTCGTTTCAATGAAAGAAGACCTTAACGACGAAATTCAAGAAAACTGAGAACCGAAACTGCGAAGTGGGATGTACCTTTGAGCAAAGTGGTGAACATTGAAGTGAACGTTTTCGCAACTGCAGGCTGCGATCAATGGCGGGGAAGCACGAAAGCTGAGAGATTGCAGCAGCCATCGCGGTGTCGTCAGGATTCAAGATCAAGGCTCGGTCTCGTTTGCGGCCACGCTACGGAATTTATTGCCCAGCGGCCATTGCAGATCTCCAAATGAACGAGTCGAAAAAAATTTTTAACAATAAAAATGGAAGCGTGCTTCCGTTCCCTGATGTACGAGTTGCAATTTAAGAAATAGTACTTCCTATTCAAATATAAGCTAAACCTTTTAAAAAAGATTGATTTTTTTTCTAAGATAATATTTAGTTTTATCCAGATATTTAATAAGTTTTTTTTTAATTTTACCCCAATATATATATTTTTAATTTATTTATTATATTTTTTACTTATTATCTTTATTAATAAAAATATATTAGAAAAAATAAATATATACCTTACATATTTATTGTTTTAAATTAATTTTAATTATTTTATTAATAAACTTAAATAAATAAAATTTAGCTTATATTTTGAGTCGGAGGAAGTATTTCTGCTGTAAGAAAATAAGATAAGAAAAATAAATTTATATAAATTAGTTATTTGTAATAAATATATCTTTTTTTTTAGAATACCCTTACCAATCAATTATTATTTTATAAAACATTTAACATATACAACTATAATAAAGACCACTTTAAAACAATAGATAAATATAATAGACAAAATAAATTAGTATCTTATATTTAAAATAAAATTAAATATCAAACTGAAACAAAATAAATTAGAATCTTATATTTAAAATAAAATTAAATGTTAAACTAATTTTATATATTAACTAACGAATTACTATTATATGGTGTGTTTGTATGCTCATTGAATCAGGCATATGAAATTAATTCGTTGGCAAAAAAAAGATAAAATCAAGTCACAGCAAATATATGAGAATTAAATATTAATTAGCAATTTTTTATGACTGGTAAAAAACTAAAAATGATTCGTCCCTGTCTGTTAATATAATATGGCTGCAAGGAACCCCGCCAAAGTTCCCCGAGAGGTCTCTTTTCCCACTTACGAGCGACTCGTTCCTGCTCTACGACTGCCTAGTCCCGGTCACCTGATGTGTAGGGCTTGCCCAACACCCTCAAACCTGCCATTCTTCGGCGCCTTACTCTGCACAGTCGGAACCCTGTTCACTACAGCTTAACTGGGTAAACCGTTGGAAGCACGGCGCCGTAAGGGTGGTGCCGGAAGCACTGACAATTAAAATGTCATTCTTGACTCGTCTCAACACTTTAGCAAGACCTCTCTGCTCTTCTTTCTTCTGCATCTCACGGCAGGTTCTTCTCAAAATAGTTTCTTTTTCTCCCTCTGTAACTAGACTATTGACTTTCAAACTCGTGAAGGTTGCAGCATACTCTTTGGTTTTCTTTTGGTTGTGGCGCCTTCTTGTGTGTGTTCTTATATTCAGTCGACCGATAGATGGCTATTTATGTATCTACTTATATATCTTTCCTTCTTTTTCATTATTTTTGTCTCTACAGATAGTCACTTTCCTTCATTTTCTTCCTGAAGCTCCTGTGGTTTCTTTTTCCCAGTCTTCTCGCTTCAATAAATTGTCTAGATCAGCTGTTTTTTTCCCCTCATTGTAAAAAACTTCCTTTATTCACAGTGCATTCCATGTTTCGTTGTCATATAGGAATTTGACGGTTTTCAATAGGAGTTTTATGTTTCTTTGCTTGCCCATGTTGCATGTCCACCTTTATGACTTTATTTACTTGTATTACTCCGGTTTTTTTAATATTTGGACATATTATGCTTGTTAACTTCGTAAATTGGATGTCCTGTGTTAGAATCTTAACTCCATGAATTCTTTGATCGTTTTGGTTGTTTCAGTGTTTACTTTCTTGTTTGATTGGATTAAATGACAGCATGACAACAATGTGAGTACGGCCCCTATTAATCCATGTTTGGTTTTTAATTGTGTTTTATGATGGCAGTGGAGATTGGAGAATTATTGCTTGTGCTAATTTTCTTATTATTGTTTATTTGCACAAATTCATTTATTATGTTTTGTTTACATTGGTCACCAATTGAGATGTCTTTTGTTTTATTTGGATTGTGGTTTCTCTCAGAATGGAGGTAGAGATGCAATAACCAGGATGGGCATGAAAACCTGCTCTCTTTCTTCCGTAGGTATTATCTCCCCTTTCTCTGTTTTTGCCTTTTTATCCATGTTATACATATATTGTTGGTAAGGACTCCTGCACGGATGCACATGTGCCTATTGTTATGGATATGACACACCCAGTTATTGTTTTTGTCTCTTCACTCTACGAGAGTACAAGTTCTTGTTGTTTCAAATCATATATGATTTGGAAAAATTACCGGATATCTTTGTTTGTTCTAACTGGTAGCTTCATTATGCCTCTGTTTAACTGAATCATACAAAACCTTTTGATGTTTTCATATTTAAATTGACTTAGACGAGATTTTTCAATCTTCTGTTTTCCTATTTTCAGTTGAAGCTTCGGATTTAGAATGCGACCAGATTCATGAGGATCTGAAGGCAACTGAGAAAGATTCTGCACTACGCTTAGCTGTTTCACAACTTGCTAATGAGTTTACCAGAGAGTCAATGTTATCTTTGCAGAAGTTTTTTCGTACACGTCATGCACCTGTGGTTTCTACAGGCTCCCTGAAGCTGGACCTAGCTCTTGGAGTTGGAGGGTTACCAAAGGTGATTATAAAACTAGCACAATTATCAATCGGGCAAATACCCGGTGTATGAATGTGTCACACATTCATGGCTTTTAGAATATGGATCACATGTTTGCAGGATGCTGATGGGTGACATAAGTGGCATAGCACATATACTTGCTATGCCTTTGAGGGTAAGATGGCCAACGCTCTGCATTTATTGGCCTTCATGGCTCTGCAGCAGGCCTTAAAATGCTTTCTAGCTGTAATTTGGTCTTTAAAATCTCAGAAATTTTCTTAAGGTTGAGTTTGGCTGCCCAAAAAATTACGGATATTGGCATACAGCCAAATGTTGTTGATTTATTTGGAGAAGGGGTGTTGGAGATTTATGTTGGCCTTTCTTTGCTGCTGTTTTTCAAACGCCCCACCCCACACACACGCACACAATATCACTCAATTGTCCATCTGAAAGTCGGAGACATAAAGCTAAGAACAGATTCTTTTACACAATATATAAATTTTGGGCATAATTTTTTTTCTCCTGAATTGTGTGACTTGAACCTTTTTGTTTTCAACAATTTCTAAGATGTCTGTTTTTTGTTTGTGGTCATTGTCTTCTAACTACTATTTTTAATCCATGCAAAGGACTGCCATACTGCAGCCTTGCATGCTGGTTAAATGCGCGGAATTTATATAGTGATGGTCATGCTGATGTTTCTGTATCCTGTTTTACCTACTTTAAAGCTACTTTGTCAGTTTCTTAACATATCTTAAAATAAGATTCAATTCATGATGTGAAAATAGGTCTTCTAATAACTAGTGATAGTGTAGTTCTTGGCGGTTACAACTTCATGGCTAAAGCAACTATTAATAGTCTGGTTTTTGAATAGTCAACTTCCTTCAGATGGTAGAAGTTGATTCATTTAACTGGAGCTAGCTAAAGTCTAAATTTCTATCAGTATATGAGTTCCCTTAGCAAAAATCCTTTTGAAAAATTCAGGGTAGAGTTGTGGAAATTTATGGACGAGAAGCAGCTGGCAAGACAACACTTGCACTTCAAGTTGTAAAAGAAGCTCAGAAGCTTGGAGGTACCTGCTGGCCATGCTTATCTTCATTTTTGCTAAATCCTTTTCATGTAGAAGAATTCAGCTTTTTTTTCCCCCTTGCTTGGGATGAAGTTTAACCTGTTAAATTGTTCTTAAGTAATAACTACAATTGTCATCTGTATGAAACTACTCTGTTACAGATACTTGAATACTGAAAATGTTTGACTTATCCCATTTGAGTATCTAATGCCATTTTTCAGCTGAGGAATTGTAAACTTGTGTTCAAATCTTACACTAGTAAGAAAAATAAATGACGTTTTGATTTTCAGCTCGTCAACTGACACATGAGATGGTTAATTCTCTTGTTTTCCTGTGTCTGTTGGAATCATGTTGGCGTGCATACTGTATTCTTTCATTATTTAATGTGCTTCAATTTGTTCTGTTGGCAGGATATTGTGCATATCTTGACGTAGAAAATGCATTGGACCTTTCACTTGTAGAATCAATTGGTGTAAATACTGAAAACCTTCTTGTCTCACATCCCGATTGTGCTGAAAACTTGTTGAGCATGGTGGATACATTGACGAAAAGTGGAGCTGTGGATGTGATTGTGATTGACAGTGTAAGTGATTAATTTTCAGTGTGAACCTCTGTATCGTCTGAGGATTTGGAAGAGTGGAGTGGCTTCAGATGATGCTGCTTTTATTCTATACCAGGGTGGTTGAGTGTTGAATTCTGAACTTTGAGAAGCTTGGCCTAACCGCCTATGCCATTTTATAAAATGGAGAAGAAAGCTCTTGCCAGACCTCAATTAATTGCTCCTTTTGATTTGAAATCCTGATCTTGGTAAAATTTTTGCAAACCCCCTCTGTTTACAGTCTGTTAGTCTCTCATTAGGCTTAAAAGCGGTATCTGGCTGTTAAGATAACAGCCTTATAGAAGTTTGCTTAACTGCATAGTAACGGACTGTCATTCCAAATAGTTACATTTCATTCATACATTCCTTCATAGTAATGGGCAATACTGTTCTTCATGCTTACTCAAGCTATTCACCATACATTGCTTTCAACCATTTTATCTTTGATTTCGTTCTTGCCCCCTTAGGTCTCCTGTATGAATTTTCTCATGCTCATGCATTTGAGAATTTGTTTTCCCCCACTGTTACGCATGCAGCCCATCTAACATGATGATAACTTACCTGGTGTTGAGCTACTCAGATCTTAACGTAATATGTTTGAATCTGTGTCCTAGTTTATTCTGATCAACACTGGCTGTATCATCCCTTCAAATAATTAATTCTTAATGCTCTAGTTTTAAGGTCTCTAAATCTGTTATTTAAATCTCATGATTACCTGTATCCTGATTTTTGAATACAAACATACTACAGAACTAGGTGTGCATTCTGCGACGACCCCCCCCCCCCAAAAAAAAAAAGGAAGGAAAAACTGGTATCATTCTGTGTTATGATCAGGACCAGACCCTTGACTCCAAACTGTCAAGAATTTTATTTTATTCTGCATTCAGTCCCATTTGCAACTCAGAAACTCATACTTTTAACACGCTGTGAGTTCAGGAGCTTAATAGATGCTCAATTGAGCTCATTGAGTGGATCAGTCGGTTTGAGGATAATAGATATGGTGTTTGTATCCTTGACATTTATTTTTTCCCACTTCACTAAGAAGTTTTTATCATTTCAGGTTGCTGCCCTGGTCCCAAAACGTGAACTTGATCAATTAGGAGTTGGCTGTAAACGAGATTTTCTGAAGCAATTAATGACTCAAGCACTACGGAAAATTCATTATTCACTATCTCACTCTCGAACTCTTATCATTTTCATTAATCAGGTCATAGACAAATCTTTTGTGCAGCGTGCATGTGGTGGTCTGAATATATGGTAAATTATGTCTATGAAACATTATATGGATTTACAGTTCAGTTCTTTCACATACAGGTTAGATTAAGTCCAACATCAGGTCAGGCATATGGGCCTGTTGAAGAGGTTACTTGTGGTGGAAATGCCTTAGGATTCTATGCAGCTGTACGCTTGAGACTTTCAAGAATGGGGTTGTTGAAAAATGAGGATCAGGTAATTTCTGTTGGCGTCTTTGATTTTAAACTGGGATTGCCCAAGAGTTGTCGTTTCTGCCAACTGAATCACTATTACTATCCATGGTATTAGTAAAAAGGGAATTCTCTTCCCCAAAACTCCTTTGTTTTCTTTTGCTTTTTCCAGGACTATACTGAATGGCACTAATTATGTTTCTCCTCGACTCATCAAGATACTTGTTTTGATTGTTTTCTTCTCCCTCTTGACTTCTTCAGCCTGAGGGTCTTGCAGTCTGCGTGCAGGTGGTAAAAAATAAACTGGCACCTGCAATGAAAAAGGCTGAATTGGGAATCAAATTTGGAAGAGGATTTTGCCTTGAAACTGAGGTCTTAGAGTTGGCTTCTGAGCATGGAGCGATTGTGAAGCAAGGAGACAGCTACGTTATCGAAGGATTGGCTTTTGACAGTAAACTTGCAGCTGAACGTTATTTGGCTGAAAATGATGGGATTCTTGATAGATTGGTCGCGGACTTGAGGCGAGTTTTGTTTTAAAGGGTATGATTCACTTTCAAATGGATGACTTGTTGCCATACTCGGCTCCGATCCTTGACCTTAGCAAATGTACTCAGTGTTGCCCTCGATGGGCATCCCTCATCAAATACAGGATCAGAAGAGCATTTCTAAGTTATAGGGGTGTACTGTGTAATGACAAGAACTGCTGCAAGCTAACTGATTAAATTGGACACTTGAATTGAATCATGGTCTGGAATCTATAGATGTACAGCTATCAATAGTCCCACTTTCCATTTATTTGAATTAAGATTTTCAAAATAGGTACGATGGAATATTTCGATTCTAGTTGCTTCATTACAATCCGTAATTTTAGAGCAGATTATTTGCCGCAAACTTTTCAAAGAAACACTGGAAACCAAACTAACAATGCAATGGTACAAAAAGAAGGATCAAATCCGAAAACCAATTTTGACATGTAATATGTACCCAGTAATAACATTGCCAATCCCCAAAACCTGTAAGAATTCTTCGAAAAACCAGAATGAGAAAATTCAAGACAGCCCAAAAAGAAAAAAGGCATATACATTTGTGAAGATGTCATCAGATCAGAATGTGAGCAAGTTGAAGGTTCGGCAATGCCCCTCTCAATCTCTGGTATACCAGTGACACAGCCAAGCATGAATCAAACCTTGCAAGTTTGCCTCCGCATCCTTCTGACGATTTCAGCAACACAGGTTCTCAACACATTCTAATGATAATGATGGTGATCAGCACTCTGACAGCTCTGCCAAAAAACCTCATTGTTTCTATTGGTGCTGGCAGGCGCACCATAACGAGAAGACCAAAGAGAAATACCCTCCTTGTGAGGCTCACTCTGATTGGGGCATAATTCCAGAAACTCTGTTCTTTGCCTTGGTGTGCTTATCGATCTTGCCTTTGCCCTGGCAGATTCCGTCGCAGCCATGTAAGTGGGGAAAACTGGAGAATTTGGCACGGAACTGTCATCTGCAAGTGACACTTTCTTTACGTGAGAAAATGATTTCCTTGGCAGTGAAATTTGTGAAATCAATCCTTCCTGTGACTCTTCTCTTTTCGCGCTCTTCAGTGAGACTTGTGTTGGACCATGCAAGTCTGTTGTGATAAGGTTTGAGAGAAGATCTGGTTTATGAGAGGCATCCCTGTTACGTGTTTCTTCCTGCAGCCATTGTCCTAGAGTACGGCAGCTCTCTCTTCCAAATTCCTTAGGGGGCCCATATTCTTCTGTCATGTGGGAATTTTTTCTCTCCTACAAAAGATAATTACATGGAAATTCTCAGAGATATGATGATTCTGAATCACTGTCATGAAATAGAAGACTCAGAAATAACCAAACTGAGCCATAAGTAAGATGAAGTCAAATGACATTACCCTGTGTGAGAAGGAATACTGTTTCATGCGTTCTCTTCTGATAGTGGCCTCTTGTTTTCTCAACCATATGGCTTCTATGTCTTCTTTTGAATGCAAGCTGCAATCCCAAGTCAATTGACCATGGCAATCAGGATAGAATTTCTCCTGTGGATTAGAATAAGGGATTTGTCATATCAATGTAGATTTGATTTATTGATTTATGGTGTCAAAATTATTCAGACATGGGACCTAGTCCTAGAAAGGAGTTCTGAAGCTGAGCGCCTGGGTGAGGGAATTTCACTAAACATGGAGTTAGTAAGTTGAATCAGTATGAGGACAAAATTTTAGAAATCATTCAAACCAGTGTTTTATTAAATTTTTGCTCTCTAGTTGGACATACAAACATGTCAGAAATACGCTTGACTCACAAGTGATCTAACGTGTTATCAGTGATCAGTTTGGTCTATAAATGTATGGTAAATCAACTGTACTAGAAATTATTCTATATCGACAAATGAATGACTGAAACTTTTTGGATTGCACTCTTCCATACCTAATTTAATTGCCCATATTCACTGAAAAACAGTTTCATATGCCTACCTTAATCTCCTTCTCTTCCAACTTCTTTTTCTGCCTTGGAAACTGATTGCTCTTGTCATTCTTGTTGCTTTTTTCTGCAGTATGACTGTTTCTTTCATATATTTCTACCGTCTCTCTTGCACCTGAAGGCAAATGCTTCAAAGTACAGAACATTTGACGCCTCACAGCTTGACCACGAACTATAGCTTGAAGTCTCACAACTCCCTTCAATGCTCTTAATGCTTTTCTAGCCTAATTTCCAACTTCGAATTCAAGTTACTTAAGGTGAAATTATGCATAGAGCTAACTTCACATTTTCAATGAAACCAAGTAGAGCTAACTTCACATTTTCAATTTAAAGCTGAGTTGTGAGGAAGCTTACAAGATGTCCACGGTATGCGCTTTGAATTTTAGTGGCAGCCAAGTTCCGATTGCCATTGGATAGATAAGAATAGGAACGGGAAGAACCAGTTAGCCTGACAACCTCAGCAGCAGCATGAGCGGCAGCAAGAGCAGCTTCTGCAGCAGCTGCTGTTGCAATAGCCGCTGTCAAAGCATGCTTTCTCTGCTCTTCTTTTGCTTTAGTAAGTGCTCTATTTGGTGCTGTAATTGTAGGACATTGTCTGAGCTTAAACCTTCGAAGACTCCATCCCCATTTCTTCGGCTTCTGATGAGATTACAGATTAGAATACATACATACGTGTGTATGTGTGTATATATCTATGGACACACGCACCAACAAAACAGGTACTATAAGATGCATGCTTCTTGCTGTATTAAAAGGTTCCAGGACTTGTCTTACTTTGGCTTTTGACTCAGGAGTGAAGAGCCTTTGCACCCATCCGAACCAGCACTTCCACTTTGCCATGGAAAGCTATGACATCATATAAACCAACTTCTTCCTCTTACACCATTATCTATTCCTCATTCACTTCCTACATTTGATATTGAAGAATCAGCAGGGGCCAAAGCCAAGAAAAAAATTCAGATACTCGATAGACAAGACTTTATAATTGCTAAGTGGTAATTAAGATGTTTGGCTTATCTTTATTCTGCTTTAATTGCTCATCTAGATGTTCACCAATTTGTCAAACATAAAGCTATCCTACAACATCAAGTGCCAAAAGAAAAATCACAACTTTATATTTAGTAACCTGAACTACTGAGGCATTAAATCAAACAAATTGCACGAATGAAAGGATAAGTTGATTAATGGTCAATGCTTCATGGAGCAGCATGGTGATGCAAAACAAAGACTGAAATAAATGAAAACATAAGAAAATCAGAAATCCTTACTCCCATCATACAGCAAGCCCTCAAATCCATCTATGCTAGCTAGATATTTCCTGAAAATTCCAAATGAGTTTCTCTCATATGGATGTGGAAAAATACCATTGACTTCCTATCATTATCTCTGTTATCACGTAGAGGAACATTAGTGTGCTCAAAATGCGAGAATGCAAGAAGCCAGGAACTGCATTGGGAAAGGCAAGCCGATCGATGACTATTCCAAATGATGTGGCCTATGCAGTTAGGTTTAGATGAATGGTGACTTTATAGCAAGTTCATTCAACTTCATGGGGTCCCTCTTCTCTCTCTCCCCCACAACCGTCAATTTTACAACTTCTTGGGTCCTTTTCAAATGTCTGCTTTCATCAAACTTAGTAAAATATACAACTTCCCCACTTGAGAATATTTTCTTTTTTATTGTTCCATACTTCCATTGTAGCATATTATTTTGTTTTGCCAAGCCGTATTCGTGTTGAGCTAGCCTCTCTCACTATTGAATTATTACCATGTGAATTTAACTCTTTGAGGGATGCCAAAAGTTGGGGCTCTTTTGGTCAAGGATGTGTAGCACTTGTTCCTCTGTACAAGTATGCATTTTCCACTCGAATTGACCAGCGCAAGGAATATATTTCCTCGTGTGAAGTTTGAGACATTATAGGATGTCGAAGTGACCCATGAAATGCAAAGACATTACAGTTTTACCTAAATCATTGTTTATAAATATCAGAACTCCCGTGGCATAAACTTAACCTTGAAACTATAAATTACTAAATTTACTGCTGGAGGGGACCAAGATCAGCATATTTGCTATATTATCTGTATGTTTTGCAAGCCTCACAAATATCAAAAAGAATATTTTAGGCCTGAAACAGAGCATTGAAATGCTCAGAGTTAGAAGAGGTTCTATCTTTATCTGTCTCTTTTTGGTTCTTGGTAGGTTAATCGTTATCTGAAATCTGGTCCCAGTGTCCCTCCAAGGTACTTGATGTGATCACGTTTGTGACTTCTCACAAGGTCGAGCCATTCAATAGTGGTCCATGGCCATGAATATATATAATAAGCGCGAGCCTTCCTAGTGTGGTCCAACAACAGAACAAGGGTAAGAAAAGTCACATATCAATGCACAGAATTTTATTAGAATCTTTTTCTTTTGCATGAGTTGCTTAATTAACAAAGCAAAAACAGAAAAGTAGCTTTCATGTGCTGTCTCTATGACCCGTCGAGATATTGATTATGGGATTGTGTATATGGTCCAAAGAACTTTGCTTTATACCTACTAAAAATTGCTGATCTGTCTCAAACACGCATGTTCTTTTCATTAAAATGATAAAACCATACATATGGAGGGAAAGAAAAGCACTTTTCCATGACTTTTCTTAATCCAGAAATCCTCATTTCTAGTAACTTCGGTGACTAGGTAGGCTATAATTTAGTGATGTTCATTGAACTCTGTCTAAGTTGTATCTTTACTACCTAAATATACTAGTTTAACACGCATTTACAATCTTCTTAGCTTCATGTTGATCCAAATGAAAAACACTTGTTTTGCATGCCTTTTGCTCTCGAGCCTGATGTAATAATTAAGAGCAGATCATTAGATTATGGTATAATGATCCTTTGCTTAAGGATAATTTAATCAAAGTAGACTTGATTTTCTCGTGTAATGCATTCCTTTTTAATCTATCAATCATTTTATTCCATTAGAATAATTTCTATGTTAAGCAAATCAAAAGCACTTGCTTGATTAATTGACATATAATATAAATTAAAGCTCACACAATCGTTGATTAATATTTGAATTTTCTCATGCGTTTTTTTTCTTTTCAATCGTCATAGTTTTCTCTTGATTTCTGGACGTCATTGTAGAAGCCCGGCAAAACAATTCCATTATAGAGAAATTTGATTCAGGACTATTAATTAGTTATGTAAATTTATTTTTAAAAGACCAATTTTTTTTTTTTTAAAAAAGTTCGTGTTTGAAAGATCGTTCTTTTCTCTTTTTCAAGTTGATATTATGGGGCGCAGCTTCGGGTCTTGTTCAATGTTCCTGTTGCCTTCATTAATATTATCATGTTAAGGGGAAATAACCTACTTTCACAGTAGGCCATCGCTATCGCCTATCATTATCGAGATATATATAAATATATATATATAATACAAAATTTATAATAAATCACATTATTTGCTAACTCATTCCAAATGTCATTATTAATTTTTTTAATTTTTATAAATTCTTATATCTTGTTATTTTCATTTTAAAAAAAATCTCCCGGGGAAGCTCAGAAGACAATTGGCATCACTAATGACTAACTTAATAGTTTTAATATTAATATACTATTTTCGGTCTTAATTATAAGATTTCGTTTGTAAATTACAAACAAGATCTTATAATTAGGACCTAAGTTAGTACTATACATTCACACATATGCATGTTTTTAATTAAAAACATCATTTTTTATAAGGGTCAAATGAAGATTATGAGCCTGTTTAGAACAGTTTATAAGTAGTTTATAAGCTACTTTTCAATAGTGATTTACAGAATACGAGGTAAGTATATAAGAAAAGTTTTATTTCGATTTCCGTAAAACATGTTTATAGGAGATTTTTAACACTGCCAACAGGGCCTATATCAACATGCAAACACGCTCAACGCGTGTTTGATGCTGTGGCCTCCCTCCCAGGGGGTTGGCATCACTAGATCCAAGAATTTTTGGCAATTAAAACTTCATTTTATATTTTTGTGATGGTTGTGATAAGAAATTAAAGGGTAAAACTGTGTAATAACTATGGAGCTCCTCCTCTCCTTTTAGTATTCATATTTTGTGCCCCATTTTTATTAAATTTAAAATGAATGGAGCTATTTACTAACTTGCCAACAATATAAATTTCTATATTCTTTGTACTATCTCTGGTCTTAATTATAAAAGTTAGTTGACTAATTTGAAAAGATTGAGGAAATAAGTTAAGTTAGTTATTTGTAATAAATATGTGTTGTCTTTCCTAAAATTTTCTTGTTAATCAAGTGTATTGACTAGAACTATTATTATTAGAAGTATTTTTTTGAAAAAAAAATACATAAATATGAGAGACAAAGTAGATTTGGATCTTATATTTAAGATTAAAATAAAAGTCAACGAGGTCTTATATTAAGGACCGAAGGTAGTAGTACTCCTCTAGTCCTGAATATAAGAGCTAGTTTACTAATTTGAATAGATTAAATAAATTAGTTAAGTTAATTATTTATAATAAATAGTTATTGTCTTTTTTAAAATATCTTTAGTAATCAAATGTATTAGTTACAACTATTATTATTACAAGGACTATTTTGAGAAAAAATAGATAAATATAAAAGACAAAATGAATTAGAGTCTTATATTTAGAATCAAAATAAAAATTAAATGAGTTCTTATTTTAAAGACAAGAGTTAGTATTAATAATTAGAGTATCGGTATGCTTGCTTTTATGTTTTATATCCTTCAAATAGCGTTTAGCAAGCGCTAGATTTTCATGCCTGGTTCCAACTTTTATTTTTGGGGAGTGGGGGACAATGGGCCAAACCCCTACCGGGCCAGGCCATTTCTTTCTCAGTTTTTTCTTTTATCAGTTTGCAAAATGTTAAATTAATATTAACGAGAATTAATCCAGTTGATAAGAAGTTAGTTCATAACTCACAAAATTATGAGTTCAAATCTCTCTGCTAATGTGAGAACCTTATTGCTGGGGATCTATAAGTGTCTCTATAAGCATTCTCTGAGTTTGGAGGCATACCCTGACTCTAGTGAACTCTCAAGACCCAACTCACCTAAACTTTTTGGTACCAAAAAAAAAAGTTAAATCAATTCATTTTTTAAAAAAAATAATCAAAATTCATCATGTATGTTTGTGGTATATATAATTTTATAAGTTCGAGATCCCTTGAGAATTAAATTTCATTAATTCTGTATACAATGATGGCTGAAATTTAAATTTAAATAATCAAATTTGACAACATTTTTCACTGCCTTGAAGTTTACTTATAATCTTACGTGGTCGGTGCTTACGCCAAAACTAAACAGTAGGGGAGCATGTTAATGAGATGTCATTTGATTGGCAAAGCATTGAAGAGAGTTGCGTTATGCATTTGAGGGAGGGGATAGGTCGGGTGAGCAGTCAAGTCATTGTGTGTTTGACGAGCTGTTTCAACTTTGAGAAGCAGGCAGCATTAGTGGAGGCCTTGTCAGGCCGCGGAACCCACATTTTTCACTTGCCCCCTGAATCTCATTCTAACCTTCTTATCATGGATTTAGGGTGTGTTTGTATGAAACCAAACCGTGGTTTGGAAAAGTGATTCTGGAGAATAGATTCTGGAAAAAATAGATTCTGTGAAGAATAGATTTTGTAAAAAAGTGATTCTAAGAAGTGAGAGTGTTTGGATAGTTGTTATCAGAAGCACTTTTTATATATACAAATTACTAAAAAAAAGACATAAGTTAATATGATAATTACAGAAAAAATAGATTTTATGATATATTTTAATTTGAAGAAATAAAATTGTTAATAATATGTTTTTTATCAACATAATTAATAATACATAAGATA